GAGGATTCGACCAGGAAATAGGCGCCGAATAGCGCCAACAACAAAAACGAATGTCATATTCGTAATCAGGCCTCAAATAACCCCTATACAGAAGTTTACAGCGAATTTGGTGGAATCAGTCGTGGCGCCAACTGGCGCCAAATGGCGCCAAATTGGCGCCAGCGCCAAAAATGAATGTCATATTCGTGATCAGGACCCTCGATAACCATAGGAAGATTAAGTGAAAAAAATTGATTCAGCCCTCCCGTGCTGCAGTCCAATGCGCTCTCACACTACAAAAACCACCCACATTCAGCGTCCAAGCCTCGAATTAGTATGGAAATGTAAAAAATACGGAGCAAAAGTAAACGAAGTAAAGTATTAAAATAAATATGGGATCAGTCGCATTTCAAAACTGCCGGTCAGTTGAACGCTCGCGCTTGACACGCACACGCATGGCTCAACGCGTTTTTGACATGTGCGCGCTCCTTCTGCTCGGACGCCGCACCCACTTCGCCCCGCCCCCTGGCTGCGCTATAAAAAGACGGCGCTCGCTCAGTCAGCAGTGCGTTTGTTTTAGACGGCGATGTACGCCAAAATCAACAACATGACGACAGCGCAGGGGTAAATCCCGCGCTTTGCAGCCCACGTGGGCGGGGATGCGTCTCCCACACACATTCTATCATTTATGCACGACTTCCTAGGTTTGTTCCTATTTTATAGATCGGTATTGGTGTAACTGTAAACGTTGTGGTCCATGGAATAGCTAAGGGGAGGGAGAGAATGGGGACGAAAGACATGTTCTTCGCACCTCATTGGGCTTGCCTCTAACTAAGGTGCGAAGGCAATCTTAATTAGGTGCCAAGCAGGGTGAACCGTCCGTTGGACTTTGTCCAACGAGGGGGTGGGGGGTCGTATTTGAGGGGTGGGTGGATGGAAAAGAGGGGGGTCGTATTTCGCGAGGTAGCGTCAATGTTATTTTTTATGGAGCGGAGAGCGGATTAGGTGGTAGGCTGGGCTTTTGGGTTGAGTGCGAATGAGTGCAAAAATTTTTCCTTTTCACATTCGTTATATACCCCCCCCCCCCCGCTCGACGCGACTGGTCTCAGAATCAAATACTATAGAATCGCCCGGGTGATGGAGGATGGTCGTGAAGGTTAACCCTGAGGGGGGTCGTATCGAGGCCCTCTAGCAGGGGGAGGGGGGAGGGGTCGTAAAATTTTCGACATTGGTCCAACGTGACGGTTGCTCTCGTGCCAACGGATAGAGGTCCACCGGTGCCCATGCCATATTGTGTAAGTCGATTTATAGAAATTCAATTCCATTCCCGTGAGGGGGGGGGGGTTTCCTAGAGGCCATAGCTCTGTTTATGAAGAATTCCTAGTGCAGATATTCTGCTGATAAGCAAATGCAACAATAAAACCAGTGACTTTGCTATTATTGTATAACAAAGCGCTTCTGCAATCGTTGTCAATAGTTGGCATACAATTTGCTCAACTTTCAGTATAAATACCTGTTGTGGCATCATCAATTTAGGCGGGAGGGATTATCCATCGCGGGTGCCTACAATCCGTAAAAAAGGAATTGTGGAGTCTGAGCCTATAAAATGTCTGCCAATTGGCCAGAATAGAACATTGTTGCTGATATAGCGAGTAGAACACTCGATTCATTTATCTGGCCGTTCTTCCAGAGAACATAAATTCCCCATTGACTTGGCTCGTGTCCACATGCACATCATTCAAACCAGTACCATTTTAATTTTGTTGTCGCTTCTTGCCCATCTACTGCCACTATTCAAAGGCAAACACCGGGATTAGTCCGGCTTGTGGGATGGATACCGCGAGGGAAATCGTAAGGTCCCTAGCTGCCTAGATCAGTCCAGCTTCGCCGCAAAGTTACGTGGTTAGGGCGCGAATCCTTACGGGCCTGCAACCATCGGACCCTGCGTTGTCAACGCCTTCCCACCCACCACGATATCGGCGTAATCTCTCGCGTGTTTTGCATTCTTTGACCGCCCTGCTTCGCAATCGTTCCACATCCGACCTTTTTGAAGGCTAGGTCCTTATTTCAGCGATCCAACAGATTTTTCTAGCTTTCCTGTCCACTTTCAGACCGTCCCGCAGCTTAGTCATCACTACGAAGCGCTCATATCAGAAGTTTTATCCCGGGACTTGGCTTTCATTCTGTAGTTTAGGCTACACCGCACACTGGTGATCAGATCCCTGTTATTGTTTCACAAGTTCACTGCTAATAAATGACACAGGTTTGTACCCCCGATTGCCTTTTTCTGCGTACTTCCATTGATAGTGCTTTTCCAATATGCCAACTTCTTATGTCGACTTCACTTGTGAAGACTGTAATTCTTTACCATTCGAGGTGCGGTTTAATTGATAACAGTGGTCTGGAGAATAAGTCTTACCCAGTCTGCAAATTTCAGTCCAACGCAAGACCCCATGCATCCATAAGACGGAGAACCAGAATATTTTTGTGTGGTGCATGCGTGGCGCATATCGGAAAAGGCTTAATCAAGTGCCATGCTACGCTCAATACTAGATGTCCCCATATACTGGGATAGCGCCTTAGTACAATTCACTCTACATGTAAGCGTGACCGCAAAGAAGTCTATTTTCGAGCTACTTTGAGGCTTGGAATTAGTCAGGGGTAACCTACTTTTTGTGTTGGTTACTTCAAGTTCAAGCTTGAACAGAAAATGGGAAGCGTGCAGACAAGCAAAAGATTTGGTGTGGGTCAGGAGATTCCAGTTGCGGTCTTCCGCCCATACAAGGTCACCCTGCGTACGACAGCGAGAGGACTTATCACAACTGCGGCCCGCACTGCACATTCTGAGAGGGGTAAGCCGTCTGGATCCCTGCCAAGTTATGGGGAAAGTCGACCGCTTTGGTAGGAAAGCCCCAGATGGCTGCGAAACACTAGTGGTCACGCACCCGACTGCATCTTTCATTTTTTATAGCTTCATTTGAACTGTTACAGACTGTTACAGCCATTTACCAGAAGAGAGGTGCCGATTGAAGATCCCATTCCTGCCGATTTCACATCTGCTAATCGTGAACTAAGAACATTGTGAACAGTTGCGGGTGTTCAAATAGTTTGAGCCCGGCGCGAGCACAGCACAACTAACGACGCCATAGTGGTATCTCCTGACCCACACCACAAAAATGAGCGTTGCTGGGATGTCTTGATTTCTGTCAATAATTAAAAAAATTAGAAAATAAAGCAGGCTTATGTTTAATTCGAATCTATTATTTGCTTTGGATTCTTTAGGCAACAAAATAAATATTTCAAAAATTTCAACAGGAAATTTTAAAACTGTTACCCTGTAATGATCAATGTAGGCGACGATACTATGAAGAGATCTAGCGTCGATTTCGGACGGTTGAAACGTAACAGAAGGGAACTTCTCGGCGAAATTTATGATGTGTTGTCCAGTACCCGAAGAAATTTCCAGTAGCTGTAACACAAGTGAAACATTCTTGAAGCAAATCAAACCACATGAATGACCATAAAACACCAAAGGCAAAGATCACAATGGGTGGAGGGCGGTGCGGTTTGATGACGTCAATGGACGCTATTGGTGGATTGGGTAGCTCAGCGGGTTAGGGGTGTGGTTGTTACCGCCTCCAACGCCCTTCCACCAATAATGTTCAATGACGTCATCAGAACCGCAACGCCCTCCAGGCGTCGTTACCACTGCCTTTAAATCTCTGACCAACGGAATGAGGAAACTCCACCTCGCTCATGAAAATAATAGGGTATTTAACCTTAATGACCTAACCTGACTGACCCTAAGCATGTTTTTTTTCTATAGTAGCTTTATTTGGTTGTCATCTACACCTTCAACAATACGGTACGCATAAATAGGAATAATGCGCACTGTGACGAGTCATTCGCGAACCCTCAACAAGGGTCGGTCCTACCGTTGCGACTTGTCGGGAATTTTTTAAGACCCCCCCTCACCACCCTCGCCATCATTGTCGCTGTTTCTATACTATTTCATGCTGAGACCCCACTTTTCCCTCCAAAACAGCCGTCGAGTAGGGGGGGGGTATATACGTAACTGAAACGGCAAAATTTTTCCCGCTCCTTCACACTACGCGCCCTAAACTCACCCATGAATTCTAAGATTATCGAATACGACCCCTCCCCCACCTACAAACTCAACAAAATACGACCCCCCCTCGTTGGTACTTGTCGTCGATTGACCCTGCCCTCAACCGAAGCCCGGCACCTGTCAAGAAGAAGACAATCCAGGCTCAGCTTAATCCTTGGCGTCGAACTGCGTAAAAAAACCATTCATGGGACTGTTTACTGAGTTATCTATGGGAGCATGGACGCTATACTAATAAGGGTAGGCATTTTGGCGCAATAAACACGCACTCGGTAATTGCAGTTTGCAGAAAGAGTCCTTTAAAGTTGCCGAATACTAAAATATCCATTTCCACGCCATTCTTCATTTTTTGGTATTTGGCGGGAGAAAAAATTGTAAACTGGAGTTTTTGCCTAGCCTAGGGGAAGAAGTTGCGGGGTGGATGAATAGGTACCGTTTTTCAAGAGGGTTGTAAAAATGATTTACCCACTCTAAAGCAGGTCTCCTAGGCTTAAGTAGGTAAAAACACCATCCCTATGACTTGCCTCAGGTGTTCCTCACCAAAATGCTTACCCCCCCCCCCCACCATATTAGTATAGTATCGAAAACTGGACAATTCAGACTCACCTTCGTATCTCTATCTATATCTCGAAGATACATTGAAAGAACATTAGCTATAGCAGCAGAATTGCGTTCCGCAGCCGAAGCACGTAACATTAGGTACGGATAGGATTGGTCTGGAACGATATCAGACGATGAAATACGATCGAACGAAATCATCGATGTCATACATAGACTATGAAGTGCGATTATACGCCGTCCGACACGCACTCGATGATGCAAACTAGATTGAGGCCATAGTGAGGATAATAGAACGGTGAATCTATTCAGGCTTATTGCACTATGCCAACTTCGATGCAACACAGGCGATACATTAAACCCGAAAATATGCGTCAGTATGAAACCTATTACGATTCATGACCCTGTTTCTAGTTCTCACGAACAACAAAAAACAGGACAGAAAGTTCAGTGGTTGCAGCGCACACGACTAGTTAGCAGAGGCGCATATTTACGGTGCCAAAAAAGTCCGTTACAAGTTGAGAGCCACCATTCTCATTCACGATGCGTTCCAATTAACTTTGACGGCCCGCTCATGTCTTTGGGGGGGGGGGACATTCAAAACAGGGCCGATACAGGTGACACTAGGTCTAAATCTCGGAGAGAAAGGAACGCGAACACAATCTGCTCACCTCCACTCCCAGAGCCCCTTCCCTCCCTGAGGCTCAGTCCCCAGCAGGGTGAATATTGCTTGAGGATTCCTCAACGGCACGTCGAGGATTTTCGCCTGATCCTTTACGTTCTCGCGCGCGGATATTCACTCTCGCCACCCGCGAGCCGTCTGTGCTCTCCGCGCGTACATTCACTATCGGCTCTACTCTCGCACAGCAGAGAGCGATGGTCGAGGAAATTCCTCGACCGTTATTCACCCTGCTCCCAAGCACAGTAATTGGCTCACTCACTTGGATGTCCCCCCCCCCTTCCCCCCCCCCCAAAAAAAAAACATATGCAGCGCCCTTAGACGGTTCTCGGAGCCAAGGACCACGCGGTGTCAATCAGTGATTATCAGCAAGTTTTTCATTTTTTTTTTGAGCCCAACTCCCAATGGGTTAGCCTGAGCGACAAGTGTGACCGCAACTTATTCATGTGTTCGCGACAGAGAAATGTCTTTTATTTATCCTGGATTTTTCATGTTACAAAATTTTATAGTTTATTGGATTCAAAAAAAAATAAAGTAACTCACCCATAATGAAATTATTCAAGAGGTATAGAGTGTTAATAAAAAATTTAAATTCCAATAATGCGTGCATTATACAATCTTCTTCTTCTTCTCCCTAGCGTTAGTCCCGCGCAGTCGCAGGGTCCGCTGTCTTTATCAGTCGTCGCCACTTCGCTCTGTCTAGGGCATCTTCTGCTGTGGCCGTGATTTCACTTAGGTCCTTCTTGATTACGTCCTTCCACCTCTTCTTTGGGCACCTCGCGGTCGCTTGCCTTGCGCTTCGAAGTCCATTGCTTTCCTTATTGGGTGGTCCTGTGGCCTCCTTAGCACGTGCCCATACCATCGCAGACGCTGTTCCCGTACCTTCAGCTGGACAGGGGCAGTCTGCATGACCGCTCTGACATCTTCGTTTCTAACTCTGTCCAGCCGCGTCCAGCCGCAGGCCCACCTCAGCATCCTCATCTCAGCGGAGTGAAGCTGCCTTTCGTGATTCTTGTTCAGGGGCCAGCACTCGCTGCCGTAGAGCATCGCAGGCCTTACCACTGTCCGGTACACCTTCCCTTTGAGCGCTCTGGAGCACCTTCGATCGCAGAGGATTCCAGTGGACTCCCTCCATTTCATCCATGCAGCGTTGACCCGAGCCTTCACCGCCTGATCCACACTACCGTCGGCTGCCAGATCGCTCCCAAG